TCAGTACTTTCAGTGAGTTCTTCTAGTAATTTCTGGTTGTTTTGCAGTCCTTCTAAAGCTTCGGCATGCTGGTCATGTAACAACTGTAGCTCTTGTTGCATACTTACATAACTAGCTTTTAATGCTTCATTCTTTGCGGATAGGTCATCTACGTTGATGTCGGGGGAGGAATTGCAATCTATCTCCAGCTTGTTGTTTCTTTTTAGAATATCGATTTCACGCTTCAGTGTGATTGCACTTTCCGTTTTCTGCTTAAGCTGCGATTCCAAAGCCTCAATCTCTTGGGACTGAATTATGCTCGTATTATTTATTTCTCCTTCAGCACTCAGTATTTTTAATTGAATCTCCTTGATCCGTTTGGCGATATCACTTCGAGTTGTGCCAATTTCATGCTGATACTCACACACCAATGCTTTCTTCACATTCAATTGTTGGGTAGTACTGTAAATAGCTTGTTTCAGTTCTTCGGACTTCTTTTTCAAATCAACATTTAGACTATTTAATGTAGCCAAATCGGACGATAATGCAGTTGGGTTTGGCATTGCTAGAGACTCACATTGGCTATGATATATCACAAAAAAATAGTTCCGGAATTCCAATGTTTACTATTTGAAGTTCCAAACGTTATTTCAAATAACTAAAAACAACTTGTTTGATGGCTGATGTCTGATGTTATCAGCGCTTTGAAGTTCTCTTCTTTTGTGTGAGCGGGCGGTCTATAATTTCGCAACGTTGCACATTTATATTTATAATTTATATAGTGTAAATATTTTAAATCTAAAAAAAAAACAATTATGTTTATTTATTGTAAACGCTTATATGATTTTCCCAGCGCTTGGAATATGAGTCGATTTAAAAATTCGAATTTTTTTTAGTGAACCAAGTTTTATTAAATTCTTTAAATTATCTTATAATGTATTTTATACTATTGGCTGAATATTAGATACAAAATGAACAAAAAAATCAGTAAAAATGTAGAAACGTACTGTTTCCCAGTAAACTCTGATTGATAATAATTACGTACTGATTTTTTAAATATTTTGAAACGTTTCTCCAATTATATGGCTAATTGTGTTAGTTGGAAAAGCAAACTGTTGCTAGTCCAAAGTAGAACGGCAATGAAATGAATTTCCCTCAATGTGGGTCATATACCTTCTTATGTGGCTTTTATCTAACCGTAGATTAGATATGGAAAATCAAAACGAACAAACACGGAGATATGCTTTATTGCGGTTCATATATTTGAAAACTTACAGCGTTATGTTTTCGGTACTTCCCAACTAAAACTTAGCGCTGTTGTCTTAGCTCCATGCCCCTCCGGCAGAGAAGAAGTAGACTTTAAAACAACAGTTGACTCAGAGACAACGAACTTATTAAACTATTTTTGCCAAATTATTGTAAACAGTTTTGTTCGATCTTCGAGATTTTAACAAACTTTTGGATGAAAATGTTAACAAAAATACTACTGGCGTGCCATAAGAGATATTAGACGGTTGCAATCATTTCGCAAACCGAAAGCTGCAGATAATTTCGAAATTGAGATAACTATCTTGTAAGTGCTAAAAGTAGTAAAGAAAAATGAACGTTTGACTTCCTGTTTTTCGTAAACGAAGCCTTTGCCGACGTATTTTTATAGGAGCGTT